ATGTGACCTATTGTGGGTCACAGCTTTGTGCAAAAGGTCTCTTACTTGATTCCCCACTTGGGATGGGTCTGGGCTTTGTCTCCTGTGTCCTATTTGCCTTCAAAAACCAAAGTTCAAGTTTACCTGGTATGTAAATATTTTCAAGATGAAAGCCAGCTTTGGTGATCTGCTTTCCTTTCTTGATTCTTAGTTTAATTTTATTTGTTTTTTGAGGTACTGGAGATTGAACCTACGGCCTCACACATGTTAGGAAAGTACTCTACTACTGTGGCCAACCAGTTTTTGTTTTCTTTCTTTTCTTTTTCATTTTTTTTTTTGTGGTGTTGGTAGGGTACCAGAGATTGAACCAAGGGGCACTTAACCACTGAGACACATCCCCAGCCCTTTTTATATTTAATTTTGAGACAGGGTGGCACTAAGTTGCTTAGGGCCTTGTTAAGTTGCTGAGGCTGGCTTTGAGCTTGCATTTGTCCTGCCTCAGCCTCCTGAATCACTGGTATTATGGATGTGTGTCACAGCACTGGACTGTTCTTCATCTTTGGGTTGAGCATTCTTCATTGTCTTGCTAGTTTATTGAGTACTTGAAGTCATAAGCAGGAAGTTTGCTCAAAGTACCTGTTCTGCTATTCTTAAAGAAATACAAATTTCCCCTTTTCATCACTTTCAAGCTTTTTAAAAGAATAGATGACACTCAGTCTTCCTAAGTCTACTTCCATTTATATACAGTCCCTCAAGTTATGCCTCCATTCCATTCTCCTCTGAACCTGCCCAGATAAGCATCGCCAATGGGGGTTAAATTCTCAAATCCTCAGAGACTCTTGTTCCTTGTCTTAATTGACCTCTTTTTGACATTAGACACTAGGGACCTCTTCAAAGCCTCTCCTGCCTTGGTTCCATGATTCTGTCACCTCTAGATTCTCTTTCTACTTCTATAACTTCTCTGTCTCTTCTTTTCTGTGGCTATTGCAGAATTCTTGTGCTTTCTTGAGCTATTTGAGCATCTATGATATGCTGCTGGCTTCCAAAGCCACATTTTCATGACTCAAGGCACAAGATACTTTTCAAACTCAGTGTGTCCAACAAGAAACTCATTTTCTTTCCCCAAACCTGCCTTTCCTATTCTGCTGAATGGAATTCTCAAGCAGCCAATCACCCAAATCAAATTGTCTTGGAATTACATGGGACCATTCCCTTTCCTCAACTCCCACATCCAGTCAGTCTTCTTGTTTCTACCACTTTAAATCCCCTCAGGTGGGTGGCACAGGCCTGCAATGCCAGGGACTTGGGAGAATCCTAAGTTTGAGGCCAGGCTTTACAACTTAGTGAGAACCTGCCTTAAAAAAAAAAGATGGTGGTGGCTTTTCCATCTCCACAATAGCTGCCTGGGGTCAGGTCCTCCTCCCATCTTGTCTGGGCTACTAGAATTGCCAACTCTTTGGTTTCCTTATCACCAATCTTGCCTTCCTCCAACCATCTTCTGCACAAAGTTCAAGTTCACTTGGTTCAGCAAACACAAATATCATCACTTTACCCCACTGGTTAGATCTCCTCCAAGTATACTTCTCTGTCTACCTTTCTCTCCAACATTACCTTTTGGCTGTATCACCAGCCTCTTCAGCATGAACCCTCTGGGTATAATGCCATGCTCCTCACTGTTTCCCTAAATACCAGGCAAAACAGTTTTCTGACATCCCCTGCCTTGCCCCAAACAGGCATGTCTATCTGAAGAGCACTCTTTGATTTTCCAAGCCTTTTCCCTGCAGAGTTGAATCATCCATGCCCTCTGTATTTCCTCACTGAGTTTTAGTGGTTTTTTTTCCACAGCATCTATAACCTGGTTTTTACCCTTTCATGCTTTTCTCGATTAGGTTGCAAGTTCCATGAGGGCAAGGGCCAAGACTTACTCATGTGTATCTGTTGTGCCTGGTACACTGTTGGTACTCAGTAAGTGCTTGTAGAATGGATTAATGATGATGAGCTACTGCCTTCTGGGATTAATGGCCCTGGTGCTCACCAAAGTAAACCCCATGAAATCCCCTAAGTGGTGTGTCTTGTAACCAAGATGGCAGCTGTGACACTGGGTGGTCTAGTCATTGGAGGTTTGAGGAAGGTAGACTTTTTCCTTAGAAAGTAACTCCTGATAGCTCTAAAGAATCTCAGGACAAAGGAACAAAGAGAGGAGATGAAAAGTTCATAGATAGTGATATGGGTCCAGCCATAAGATTAATGGACACTTAAGTGAAAAAATGGTTACTAGAGGCTGGAGAGAGTTGGGGGGAGATGGGGAAAGGCTGATCAGCAGGTACAAAGTCATAGTTACATAAGAGAAGTAAGTTCTGGCTGGGAGTGGTGGTACATGCCCATAATCCTAGAGGCTCAGGAGACTGAGACAGGAAGATTGCAAGTTCAAGGCCAACCTCAGCAATTTAGCAAGACCCTAAGCAGCTTAGTGAGAACTTGTCTCAAAGTTAAAAAAAAAAAAAGAAAAAGAAAAAGAAAGAAAGAAGAAGAAGGAGGAGGAGGAGGGGGAAGAGAAGGAGGAGGAAGAGGAGGATGGCTGGGATGTAGCTCATTGGTAAAGTGCCTCTGGCTTAAATCTCCACGCCCCCCCACCAAAATAGTTTTTTTGTTCTATTGCACAGACGGATAACTATAGATAATGATAATGTACTACATATTTCAAAAAAGCTAGAGGAAAGAACTTGGAGTGTTTTCACTACCAAGAAATGATAAATGTTTGAGAAGATAGATATGCCACTCCTGATTTGAGTATTATACAATGTATACATGTATGGAAACATTACATGGCATCCCATAAATATGTGCATTTTATTATGTGGCCTTCAGGGATATGAAAAGATCTGGGAGGCATCCTTGGGCCAGGCTATGGGAGGGAGCAAAGAGCACAGGTGTGAATTAGCAAGGCGAAGGAAGGACAGCTCTTTCCCACTTAGCCTCAGAAATATGCTCCTGAGTGGTCAGCTTCCCCTTCCCAACTGCAGGGACTGGTGACAGTACTGGGTTGAATATGCCCGCCCCCATTCATGTCCACCTGTAGTCTGTGGATTTCCACTCCTTGACCATCCTCTCTACCCCAAATTGGGCTCTAATCCAATAACTGATGTCTTTATAAGAAGAGAGAAATGTGAATGCAGAGACAGTCAAAGGAAAGCCAGCCTTGTAAGATGGAGGTGGGACTGGAGTGATGCTTCCACTAGCAGAAGAACACCAGGGATTCTGGGAACCACCAGAAGCTACAAGAGGCAAGGAAGCATTCTTCCCTAGAGACCTCAGAGAGAGCATGTCCTGCCAACTCCATGTTTCTTATTTCTAGCTGTCAGAATGTTGAAAGGGAAAAAAATTCTGTTATTTAAAACTAACCAGTTATTATTGGTACTTTGATTTGGTAGCCCTAGGAGACTAATACAGTACTGTGTTGCTGCTGTGTCCACCACTGCTGAGAGATCTAAGAGCATAGTTTGGGAAACTATGAGACTACAGCATAGTTTGGGAAACCAGTTAGATAGCCTTCTGGGGCTACCTCTTGGAGGGATGAGGGAAAGCAGAATAGGAATAAGGTGTTTACTCATGCAGCTACACTGACCTACTCATAGACTGAGCTTTGGCATGCTAGGTGAGCACTCTATCACTGTTACATTTCCAGCCCTGGTCTGCAATATTGTTCTGTGTATGAGGATGGGAATTCTTTGGGTTGGTAACAACTTGTAAGGTGAGGATTCCATTTAAGAAACTTTTTCTCTCACCCCTTAGCCATTGGCTCTACCCCTAGATCTTACATGATGAAACTATGCCCTAGAGAAGTTAAACTCTTGCCGGATTCACAGACAATTAGTAAGAGAAACAGAATTCAGATCCAGAACCCTCTGGCTCCAAAAACCCTGCCCTTTTAACCACCTCAAGTTAAAGAAAGTGAATTCTTCAAAATGATATCTGATGATTTGCTTTGCTTTTTATAACCCCCCCCCAATATCAAAGTAATGTTCATTTGGAAAAATATTTAGAAATTACTGAAATGTTTAAAGAAAAAGTAAAAACAATTATTCATGACGATAACTACTGATAATATCACGTAATATCCTTCTAGTCTTTTTTCTATGCAAATATGAATTATCAACAAAATTTTAACACCACAAATAGTTTTGTTTTGCTTTTTCACCTAGCATTACCTCATGAACATTTTCTCATGTCAATAATTGTTTTCGTAAACATGATTTTTAATTACAAAATATTGTTCCATCATATGGGTGGGTCATTATTTAAGTCTTCTATTAGTGCCTTCCTAGTTTCCAGCTGTTTACAACGATAAGTAAATACGTTAACATTTTGCGTAAATATGTATCCTCACTATTTCCTAAAGACGGGAACAATACCGGATAAATGGGATGAATGTTTTAAGGCATTTGATACATAATGTCATGTTGTTTACCAAGAGGGTTTTACCTGCCAGCAGAATGAGCATGCCTGGGGCAGCACCCTCACTATATTTTGTAAAGAAGCATGCCGTGATCCGATCACACAGGTTGCTGTGCCCAGATTGCTGGGAGAAGACCCAGAGGGAAACTAGTCAGGAGACCGTTGCGTTGATCCCAGGGGGACCTGATGGGGCTTGAGGCTAGGCAGCAGGGATGGAGGAACGGGAACACGCACTGGATTCGTGCTGTTCGGATGGGGGCGGGGCACCGGAGCTGATAAGGTAATTATGCGCGGCGCCGGGAACGGGAGAAGGAGGGGGCGGTGCGTCCGCTCCAGCCTCCTCCGCACCGAACTGCGAGGTTGGCGGAGGCGCGAACCCCTCCCACCCCTTTAACAAGGACACTCCCCTTTAAGGCGGGCGCCCGCGCGCACCCGGCCCCGCCCTTCGGGGGCGCGCGCGGCGGTCGCGGCGCCGGCTCCGCCGGGAGCGCACGTGCCGGCGCGGGGCGGAGGAGAAGGAGGCGGGAGCGGGGCCGCGGGAGGAGGGGAGGCGCCGGGGGCGCGCGCGCGCTGGGCGCTGCTGGGCTGCGGCGGCGGCGGCGGCGGCGGCGGTGGTTACTATGGCGGAGTCGGCCGGAGCCTCCTCCTTCTTTCCTCTTGTTGTCCTTCTGCTCGCCGGCAACGGCGGGTCTGGGCCCCGGGGGATCCAGGGTGAGTCCCGGGGCGGGGGGCGGAGGCCGGGATGGAGAGGGCCGGGCGAGGGCGAGGCCTCGAGCCGCGGCCCCTGAGCTACAGCGCGCCCCCTCCCCACACGCACAATATGGCCGGGCGGGGGGCGCGGAGGAGTCGGGGTGACCCTCAGTCAGCTTGCCCGACCTCCGAGGCGCGGCCGCCCATAGGCCACCCGAGCTCACGCCGGGCCCCTGGGGACCCAAGCCCTCTTCCAGGCGGAACTGAATTCGGGGAGCTCCAGGGGGTTGCGCTCCCCGTACCTCCGTGTTCCATAGAGGGGAGTCCCGGCTTCCTTAAGATTGGGAGAGGTCTCTGGTTTTTGCCCTTAAGCACGCCCAGAAACGGGGGGCTTTATTCCTACCCACCAGATGCTCCTGGGGGCGCCTTTTCTCCCGCCAAGATTGTGGGGTTCGGTAATGGGGTCTTGCTTCTCTTAGGTATCCTGATGAGAGCTCTCGCGCACCCCAGGCTATAGGGGAAGGGGGTCTCTAACCTTCCCTTCAGCCTCTGCACTTGGCGTGTCTCTACCTTTCCTCCCTTGCCTCCCTGATGTTCTGGGAACCGGAGTCACATTTCCCTTTCGCTCAGCCCCCTGCGTTCTGCGGGGCAAACCCCCCACCTCCGATGCACATGCCTCAGGAAGTGGGACGAGCAGGCCCCGCAACCTTTTTGGAGCTTGGCTTTGGAATCTCTCTAACCCTATGAAAACTAGTTCCCGGGCGGTTAATCTGAATCTAGGTGTATTTGCTTTCCTCCCATCTCCCCCATCCCACCCCACCCCACCCCAGGGGGCCCATTTAGTTAATCACTTTGTGGATGCCTTTCAGGTGATATCCTAGAACCTGCGTCCAACCCCCAAGATTATTTAAAGATCCCACCACTGGACCGTCTCCCTGGCCCTTGGTCAGTACTTATTTACCTTCGCACACAAACCCTCTTCCCGGCCCTCCCCCACCCTCACACACCCCTTACCTTCCAACCCCCACAGCCTTCTGCTCGCCTGATCTTCCCCGCCACCCTTCCCATACAGAGGTGGGGACCTTTCTGTGGGACATTCCACTGGATGTGTTGTTTATGAGGCTTTGGGGACTGAAAAGAGCTGATGAAACCCTAAAATATTTCATTTGTGAGAGTCCTCTCAAATGTGTTTTGGCATTAGGTCTGCAGATGAAGGTTATATTTGGCAGTTATATTGAAGTGATTATTGACCCACAGATGGATCTGGGAGAGACTATCAGGATTGTATTTGCTCCCATGTACAAAGCCTGCTGCTTTGACTTAGAAGCCCCTAACCTTCCAGCAATGGGAGATCAAGTGTGTGTTCTTGGGCTCTTCTGGCATCTAAAAACAATTCTCAGGTGGATCCAGGCTTCCTTAATAAAGCAGAACATGAAGAAAGACACTATGCCACTTTGGAGTCTCAAAAACAAGTTTATTATCTTCTGCTTTGATATTTGTTCCCAGTAGTGTAGCCTATGCAGTGAGGTCTTTGTTCACTGGTTAATGCTTCTGTTAGGTACCTTGTGTGTCTTCCTCGGTATTGCTGCGCTGTGGCATAGGTAACTGCTCTGTGAGGTCTGATAAACATGCTGAAGATGTAGGAACAGAGCCTGACATTTGTGGTGAGATAATGATTTTCACAAATAAGGATGTTCATGGGGTCTTATTATGGGCCATGTTTTTGGAATGTGTAATACAATTTTATTTCTCTAGTAGGGTTGTAAAAATAAGGTTCACCCTTCAGGTTTCTTATGTGTATGTGAATAAATCTTTAAGTCCTTCAAATAGGAATTTTTATTCTGCCCTTAATGTAGCCAAGATTTTAAACAGTCATTTCTCTGCCCATTTGGTGTGGTGTTTGTGGGGTTTGTCTTGTGAGCTAAGTTAAGAATGTTTAATTGATAATCCAACTGGTTTTGAATGGTGCAGAGTTCATTTTTTTGTAACCTTCCTAAAAAAGGATGTTTGTTGGGGTGAGTGTGGGTGGTCATAATAGGGAATCGGTTTCTTTTTTTGGTATATGGGAAATTAAGTTGTGTGTCCAACATTCTCAAAGGCCTTTAAACTTCTTGGCCAGACACTACAGTTTTTTCCGGGACACATCTAGTTGCCAATAGTGCATGCTAGAGAGACCACTGTTGCAAAAGGCTTAAAGTAAAACGTCAGTTCTGGGAAAATAGAAGCTATGGGATAACAAGAAGTTGATGTTTTTTTTCCCCTTCCCTGATTTCCTATATAGTGCTCCCCTACATTGGCTAGAGAAGTGATAAGAGCCCAGCAGCTCTAATGCCTGGTACTCGAACATGATGTGAGGACAGTAAGGGATAGGTGTTTCTATTAGTTAATGAATTAATTAGTTAATTTCTATTAGTCTTTTACTGGGAGTAGTAAAAGACCAGTGATAAGGAGAATGAGTTTAAGGCTAGAAACAGTAGCCATTTGATAGGTATACTGTGTTTTAAGACCTAGCTTAGCAATGTTCACGTTGGTATTTAAAAATGTAAAGTTGAGTTGTAGCAGAAGAACATGACATTCATTTCTTAGGATAAAAGCAACAAAAGAGGCATTTGAGGTTATGATAGGAATATTTTTGAGTTTCTGTGACCAAACTAAAATAATTTTTATTTCAAGCCAAGTCTTGTAATTTTGTTGAATGGATATGGATGTGAGGTACTGTGGAAGTGAACTCCTGTAGAGCAAAAGAGAATCTCTGATAAGTTTTGTTGAAACAGCTCCTGGAACAGATGTGATAAAGCAATTAAAATGGCTACTCCTGGTTAAAGGTTAGAACCAGATGCAGGGAGGAGGCTGGTTTTCTGCCCCAGAACTTTGCTTCCTTACAGGTTGTCCTTGAACAAGTAACTTAACCTTTCTGTTACTGCCTCAGTTTTCCTCTGAAAAGTCAGAAAAATATTCTGTGTTGCTCTTATTGGGACATTCGTGAGACTGACTTACTGATAGCCAGTTGGCAGGGAGGTATTTTTAGACACAGTTTCTGACTTCAGTGAATAAGCAATGTTGGGTTACTTTTTATTCTATGGGGCAGAATACATACTCTGTGATTGATAGGTGCACCACATGTCACACTGTTAATTTCTTCTTAATTGTGCTTTTTTTGTAGGCTCCTTTCAGATTTACTCAAGTTAATTTCTGGCTTTGGTAGGCATTTACTTCATAAACCAGGCAGCATACCTGTGCTAATCAAAGACAGTCTGGAGAGAGTGACCTGCTTTAGGCTTTATTGGTTTGGCAATGTTATGCAATTCTGGATATGTTTATGGCACTATGTAAATGTTACATAAGAACATGGAGGCTGAGAGGTGGCCAGAATGGTGACTGTGAACACAGGAAGGTTAGACTGAGGACTTCATCTGAAAGGACCTTGGGAATCTGCAGTCAGTACAGGAAGAAACTGCACTTTATTTTCCTCTAAAAACCTTTTTAGATGATTGTATCTTTCAGGGGGACTGCTGTGTTATAAATAGGTTTATTCTTCACCGGTGAGCTAATTGTAACCTTGCTACCAAAATATGAATCAGTAAACCTGGAGAGGAGGGGACATGCTGCTTCTTTCAGCATGTCCTGTTGAAGCTGCTTGTTGCATTTTGGAACATGAGTTGAATTGCATTGCAGTCTGTTCTCATAATAACTCAGAGGTACAGGGTGTTGAGGTGGAATGGAATTCTCGGTTCACGCGCTTTAGATCATCTTTATTTTTGAAGGTTAAATCAGAATATCAGCTTTTTTGTTTTAATTTTGAATCTTTATTGTTTACTGCTTGATTTTTGCTCAGAGCAGCAGTAAGTATTAATTCTGAATCCCGCCTCTTTGTGTTGAGTTCTTTGGTTATTAATCTGTTATAGTAGGAGTTGATGTAAGAGGATCTTATCTCATTTTCCTCTCTATTTACAAAAAGAAAATCGAGCGTTCTCTTTCTCATCAGCCCTCTGGTGCTGTCTGTGCTGCAGGCATCCATAGTCTGGACTTAAGGCTAGAACCTTTTAAGTAATCAGCTCTTAGACCCTGTGGTTTCAGGCAGTCAAACTTGGATTTCTCTCACTTTGCCTCATTTCCAGGTTTGAGTACCTGCTGTCTGTTTTTGGACTTCTCAGATTCTCTGTCTCATGTCTGGCTACATCAGCTGGGACTTCATAGGCATCAGTTCTGCTCTTGCCTGTTCTGTCTGCCTACTGGCATTCTCCATGGATCATGGATAAATGGGACACCAAGCAAAAATACTGTTTCAGAGTATCTCTCCTTCTCTTGTTCTAGAGTTGCCAAAGTTTGGTCTAGCTGTGAATTTTCCTTCCCAGGTGATCTTATCTACTGTAGATTTCAGAGACAGTGTCACTTCAGGCAGTGCTGCTTGTCTTTTCTGTTTTCTTTCTTTCCACCTAATCTTAAACCTTGTTTTGCTAAATATTTTTAATTTAAAATTATGAAAATAACTTTAAATATCATATCACCTCTAATATTTACTAGCTTACATATAGGACATTTGTTTTTTATATTTGATTGGTCATGTGTCAGGAATGGTTTTTGGCATGAGGAAATAATAGAGAAGATGAACAAGAGTCCCTAAATCTCTACTCTTGTGGAACTTAAAATTGCAGTGGCAATAAATAAATAAATAAATGAAACGAAATAAAATAAATAAAATTGCAGTGGCTTAGACTGAAAATAAAAAGCAAACACTATTATCAGTCATGAGTGTTTAAACAAAAATCAAACAGGATGATATGCTAGAGTATTTCTGGAGCTGCCATTCCATATCTCTCAGTTTCATCTGTAAGATAGGGTTCATACCATCAAATTTTATTATTTTTGATAGTTATGTTCTATAAAGTGGCTATTAACACTGAATTAGAGAATACTGTACACATTGCTCTTAAAGGTAATACAGGGGTAGGTTCCCGCAAGCCTGTGGTCACAACATTTTCATAAAACAATCAATATATAACCTGTTTTTATGTGTTTCT